TCAAAATAAAATAGTGATGTCGAGATGATGGAACTATGGGATCTTGACTCGTGATGCTTAATTTCAATTAAAAATCCCCTAAAACATTCTAATAATAAAATCTAACAACAACAAAATAAACCTTAAACCTTGGAGCTACTACTACAACAAAAAGCTTGGAGCAGACTTTATGGCCAGCATAATGAGGTCACAACGCATAGAAGAACATATTTGAGAGAGCAAACAAGGTCTTCATCAATTAAACTTTTCCTAGTCTAAACAACAAGCCATAGGATTTCGAGGTTGTCTCCCTAGTGCGATATAAATCCTCACCTTATATTTAGGTTTTTGCACAATTATGTTGTGCAATATTAGTCAACTTTTAGGATTCTGAGGTTATCGCTCAGTATTACGTAAACCCTCATATCTTTCATGTTACTTGCATGATCAGATATCGTGCAGTTGTAAGCCCTAAGTAATAAAAATGATAGGATGAAATATTAAATAATATCACCTTCAAATTGAAACCAAACCATAGGATAGTTTGGGAAGTCACCGAGGTTCTCATCGAGATTTGTGACATCCCCTACTCTTTCTTTCCTTTGGATTCTCAGAATAATTGCTCCTGTTTGATCCAGTTCCATTTGATTTTTCTAAGTTCATCCTTGAAAACTTAACTTTGAAATCTTGAAGACAAATATCTCTGATCATTATCGAGAATTTTCTTAAGTGACTTCAGTCATTTAAGATGTAATTAAATATAGATGCTTACCTCTATAGGGAACTAAAGAACTCAAGTAATATAAATTCTATCTAATCTTTATATTATATAGGAAAACTTGTCGCCCAACATATAAAAATGTTCTCAGACCAAACGGATGTCATAAATTCTTTAGTTTATGTAATCGAGCACCGCTAACAATAAATGTGTTCATTCCATGGGATAGGTGCATTGCTTATGGTGTGATGCTCGGTTATCTAAATTATTAAATATTTGAGGTCTTTTGGTCTCATTTTCAAAATCAAAATACTACTTTCAAAAATCAAAATTATATGTAAATTAAATATTATTTTCAAAATAAATTATAAAAGTGATCGTCAACCACTACTACATCGAGGCTAATGGGGTATGTAGCTTATATCAGGCTTGCTGCTTCGACCAGGTATGTTACTCTAATCAGGCCTACTACTTAGATAAGGCCTGCTGCCCCTTTCATAAATCCTACTCCTACCATTCCAACTATTCCCAGGCATTCGGTCCCAAGCAGGGTGTCATGGCCACCACCCACTTTTGATGAGTCGGATCCCTCCGCTCTCACCCTATTGAGGGATGAAACCTCCGGGCGGTTATACATTGAGCCAGAGGCAGATTTGTGAGTAAGGTGAAGTTATAATAATTTGAACTACTTTTTGCTATATTTTATAAATTATATTTATATTTTAGGTTTTATACCTCCATGCAGCCCATCATGCTTCGTATCTCACATGAAGAAGATTTTGATCACAATCAGGAATATGTAGTTTAGGGAGTTCAGAGTAAAATCATTTAATTTGAATTTGAATTTTAATTTTAATTTATTTTTTATATATAAATTGTATTTAATATTTATTTTACAGAGATCATTTTACTGGCTACTTGAGCATCATCAACAGTTTAGTAAAATTTTGATGATAGAGGTGGCCATCAGTTGCGTGATATGTTTACTACGTCATATGAAGGTTGAGCAACCTATTTAGATAGGCAAGAAAATATGGGCGACATTGACTACAGCCTAAAGCACTGCGAAGTATCAGAGGAAGAGGTAGACGTCCCAACATGACCGAGGAGCTAATGGAGGCAGGTCGAGCATCACATTATATATTAAAGGTTCAATACCACACACCAAAAATCAAAGAAAGTTGGTAATACTCACTCAATACAAGAAAATTCATTAAATCAATTATTCATTATTTACTCTTTTTAAATGTTAGCAAATTTAGGAGCTAGAATAGGAACTCATCATTGTTGAGTTATATGCAAAGACCTATCAGCACCCGGGAACCAAACAGAGGGTCTCTGACATAGCTTGGCGTTATTTACAATTTTAATGTAAATGTTAATTATTCTTTGGTTTTACTTATGTAGTAGGACTTCGAACACATTAGAGACACCTAGAGCTAGAGCCAAAGTTTGACAGTTGTTGGCAGTTGCAGTAGTCAGTCATCTCTGAGTAGTATGACTATGAGATCTTGAAGCAAGCTACTTGGAAGAACAATTTGGAGGGGCGGCGGTCGGTGCTTAGAATTTTGTATACGAGGTCAAGCACTCCCAATCAGCTCAGAGACAGGGGACATTATCGATCATGATTAACTTCTCAGGCGTGTCACCGCATTTACTGGGGAGCTCAATGCCAAGGATTAGAGATACAAAGGCTCGAGGACACTATTGAGCGATTGTATTAAGATGACCATGATGATGAGCAGGATGGCCATGATGATGATGCCTTGTTGGGGTTTTATATTTTATTTTTTTATTTTATATTTGGGCATGCCATTCTTTAAATCTATTCTTCATTTACATCTTAGGAATATAGGTTTTTGGTGGATTATAACCAGTTTTATGTGTGATGTATGATGTTTTTATTTATTATCGTCGTTGCTATAAATTTGCTAAATCCGTTGTGAACTATAGTTGATGTTGGTGATGAATATATGTGGAAATTAGGTGTAAAAAATTTGATTGGTTTGCTATATATTTTTTAAAATTTAGTTCAGGTTTGCGTTCAATTTTCAGATGAAACAGTGTCTGACATCATCCGATGTTAATTATAATGTTAACATATATGCTACCATTAAATTCTGTCGTAAACATTTCTACAATAGAATATTTTGACACAGACTTAAAATTGTGTCAGAATGCTCAGACACAATACTAACCGTTAAGTATTATGTCGGAGAACATTTATCGCAAAGCCCCATAAACCTTAGCTGCGAAATTTTTTCGATGCCAATACCTTTGCAGCCTGCAGATTTGCGTCAAAATTACCATCACCATAAATTCACCGGTAACAGAGCTTAGTGTCGAAGTTTGGACCTTTTACTGGTGGAATTTTTCGCTGCTACTTACTATTTTTCTTGTAGTGCATGAACCAGTATCATTGAGATATAAGTCCTCAATTTAAAAAAAAAAAATGAGCAACTTAAACTAAACTAAAAATTAATCTAATCAATCACTAAAATATAAAGCTAACTCATAGGATAATTGGATGCAACGCCGAACCTCTCAGTATACAGTGCTTACTACTTTTCTTCTTTTGTTCTCCGACAAGAACTATTCAAAATTTGATCACTCCTTATTGATATTCCCAATTAACAAAATTTATCCAAATTTCGAAAGTAAAAAATATTAGCCCTTATTTTAATTGAGAGTTTTTCTATGAGGCTACTTCTTTTAGGATGTAATTAATTATAGGGGTTCGACTCTATAAAGAGCATGTACCAATAATAAAATAAACCATGTTCTACCCAAATGTCATAAGGAAAAAACTCTTTCAACGTAAACCCTAAGTCTTAAAATCATTATTTTGTGATTAGATCCATTATTGTCCTTTTGAAATGATATACTACTCCTCATATCATATCTAATCACAAAATAAAAAATTTTTAACTCTTACATAGTTCACATCTTTCTCCCTCCTCAGTAAAACAATATGTTTATTTATTTATTTTTTTAATATTCACTAAGATCAAAAGTGTGTTTGCAGTAAAAAGTGTTGAATAGATACTCCATGCTGATAAAATTGCAGGCTCAAACTCATCAAAGCGACCAATAGAGTAAATACTAAATAATAAACAACTAGAACATAAGAATTGAAAATAAATTTTAAATATTATAAATTATATTTCTCTTATTACTAGTTTTACATTTAGTAGGTTGAGTATATACGATTGTAGGATATGTAGAGTTGCGCGACACTATTGAAGAAAAGGATTTTGAGTGGACATTTTGAAAAGTCAAAATTTGATATGATGAGTCATGCAGCAATAAGAAAGAAGAAAAGAAGAACATATAGGACAAGGCATATGTTGTGTGGTAATTTGTTTTTCTAACTATAGATCTGTGATGATCGATGGGCTGGTGAATACATAGATGCTATGATGATTGGTTGAATCACTATGGCACAAAATGAGATGCAGAAGTTAAGGCACCAAAAACAAAGAGGGAAGTATCCAAGATTCAATATAATGTTCCTCTACTCTCACATAGAATATCATGAACCTTAATTTCCATCTCCTCATCCTGCTCACACATGAACCCACAATCATAAAATTATTCTCTTCCAACAAAAGAGCTATTTTTCACAATCTCAAAAATCTCACCTTTCAAAATATAGTTATAACTTATAACTTATGCCCCTTTAATCAACATATTTCTCAATAATGATTTAGATAATGACCATCTTCACATAGTCCATCCCTAGCTATCGAACTCCTTATACTTCCATGAGATACTCCCAACCCTAGCAAGATGGTGAAACTAAGCATATATACATTCCGCCCACCCTATCCCTAATTGCGTATCGTCAAAAACTTTAAAAAAACCATTTTTAAAATGCCCCATAACTCCCCAATAAATCCCCAAAAGTTTGTTCAAAAATACCCCCACCCGAAATGCAGAAATGAAGCGAAAAGATAACCCAAATCAGTAGCTCAGTTCCCATCCCTAACCTTCGAGTTTAATGGCAGAAAACTTCTAGGGTTTCCCAAAAACTAACAGCAAAACGCATACAGTATCTATTCAGATTAAAAGATGCAGGGAAGCGGGAGCAGTAATCAGATCTCGGAACAAGTTCGATAAATGAGGGGTTTTCAAAACCCTAACAATCCTAGAGACCGGAAAGTAGCAGGCGCCGCAATTACAGTCGAGAAGAAGACTGAAGAAAACCCTAGGTATAAAAAGACAAGCTTTTTCAAAAGAAGTATGAATGCGAAAAGGTAGGGTTAAGATATTCAGGGGAGGATGGGGGAGGTAGGGATCTGACCTGGGAGTCCGTGCATTGGGGACTTTCAATGGCATCCCACGGGGAGAGATTAAGCCGGCACTGCAGCTCGCCGGAGTAAGATTCCGCCGACTGTACGCACGGCGGCTCCGGCGGCCAACCATACTGATCGAATGCTGATAATTGCAGAGAAGATGAAGCAGGGAATGAAGAACCTGACGACCATCCTAGGAGCTTTGCAGCCTGCTTCCGTATCCTCATCAAAAACAGAGGACTTGAATCAGTGAAGCGGGGTAGATGGGAGGAAGATGATGGGGGAGGAGGTTGGGTGAAGAAGAGAAAAGGGTTACAGATCTTGCTGTGGAAGAGTGAAGTGGGGAGAAGACAAGAGGAGGCCGAGGGTTTCCGGGTTTTCGCTGCTCTTTTTACAGCTATAATTTTAGTTTAGTTTGTATGTTTACTTTTATACCCCTTTCATGTTCAGAGAATTACTTATTTGCCATGAGAGAGAGAGTAGTAAGTAAGTTTTGTCGACATGAAATCGGCTAGAATGGATTGAGTACAGCTCAACTCGTGACTCGTTTCATTCGATTTCGAGTTAGCTCGGCTCGATATGGAATTCAGCTTGATCTGGCTTGAAATGACCTGATCTAACTCCCAATTAAAACGAGCTTGAAATTGGACGAATATTGATTTGTGTCTTCTTATATGTATAATTTTTATAAATGAAAAAATATTTTAAATCAGTATCAAGTCAATTCAAGTCGATCCGCTAGTCTCATAGCTCGACTTGCTTATTCCGATCTTACCGTGCAGTCTTTTATACGATTATTTCATTCGATAACAGAAACTATTTTTAAAATGTTATAATATATTTAGTAAGTATGAATTATCAATCTAGAGAAAAATCTGGGCAAGGGCTACTGGAGAGGAGGGTAGAATGGTCTTTTCGACTTAAACAGACGCCAGGCCCTTCTGACAAAACTAAAATTTAAACAATGCAGCGGCTGGCAGCATTTTAGTTTGGAGAAGGGTAATATGGGAATTATACATAAATTATAAGGGACCAACCATATTAATGTGAAAACTTGCATGTCTCATTTTATTGGAATAAAAAAAATGTGACCATACAAATGAAATCTAAACAGTCCAGTACGATTGATGTGGCTGCTTCAACGCCTCCTCACTTATAAAAAATAAAAAATAAAAAATATATTTAATATTTATGCATTCGTATTAATCATATGAGATGATGGTGGACAGTTCAGGACTTAAATACTATTTTTCGATCCTACACGTAGCAGATGTGAGACTTTTTGTCCGTGACATCGAACTCAAGCTTTAATCTAGGAGTTCGAAAGGGCTTGTTATTATCAAAGGAGATAAAATACAACTAATTTAAAGTAATGTTATAATAAAATGATAACTATAATAAATAAAGAAAGAACAATAGAACAGTTATTATAAAATATAAAATATTTATTTTTTTTAATGTTTTTAATAATTTAAATATAAAATCTTAAAATTTAATATAGTTTGAGTATATTTGATATTAATATTTTTTAAACAAGCCGGCTCACGAGCTAACGAGAGGAGTTGGAGCTAGTTTGAGCTATATTTGTTAGCTTATCGAGCTCAGCTCGTGAGCCACTTATCGAGTCGGCCTGATTCACTTACACCCGTAGCGTACACACCCTTAATCCCTCGAAAAAAAAGAAAAACGTAGACTATTTATCTTCTCTTTACTCCTAAGTTGATAAATAAAATAAAATATAATGCTAGCTTCAGGTCTCAGTGTAAAGAAAGGAGACAGCTACATTGGTAGGGACGTTAAAAGAGAAAATTACGAGGAGATGATTGGTATAGGATTTCTAAAGAGATGTGAAGATATATGAGAAATATAAACGCGTCGGCTCGAGTCGAGTCGAGTCGGCTTTGAGTTCGAGTCATTCTCAATTTGAACTTGAATTTGATTAATTTTATTGAGTTTGAGCATGCTTGTTAATTATAAAAGAGAGAAAATAATATGAGAACACATATTATAAAATATAAAATATTTTTTTTCAACTTTTTTAATATTTTAAATATAATATAGTTCAAGTATATTTTATATTAATATTTTTCTTAAAAAGAGCAAGCTCACAAGCTAACGAGTCGAGTTGGGGCTAGCTTGAGCTTGGCTTGTTAGCTCATCGAACTCAAGTTCACTAGCCACGCATCGAGTCAAGACCAAGCCAGCTCACGAGTCTGCTTGACTCACTTGCACTTCTATATATGATTAATAACCAAGATAAGAATAGAAAAATAGGCGATACAAAACATGTATTTACACATCTAACAACTAATTTTAATTTTTAAATTCATCAAATTCAAATTTTTAATATCACATAAAAAATGTTGAGAAGTTAGGGCGAAGAGAAACAAGAATCGACACAAATCCAGAAGAGCACACAGAGATTTAACGAGGTTCGGGAAAGATGTCTACGTTCTCAGGAGCAGAGCGGCGGCTTTTCCACTAATCCAGAAAAAAGTGTGCAAGATACAGAATATGGGATAACACCTAGGGTTACATACAAGTTTATTTATAACCCTAGATAGAACAGTAAAGAAAACCTTGGGTACAATATGTAATTACCAAATTACTCATGTACCACGCCCCAACCCACATAAGAAAACTCCCCTGATTTGAACAGTAAAAAAATGAACCTTTGTTGATCTATCTTTCAACACTAAGAAGGAAAAAAAGTAGTGCATATAGTAGTCTAGTTTATTTGATGTATTTCAGAACTTTACAATTATGTGACTACGCTCAAGCATTAGATTCAAAAATTTCAAGGGACTAGAGTTAATGTTTATGATTAAATCCTATGAAAATAGCCTTCGACATAATTTTAGATTCAAAATATTTAAGATAAATAAATCTTGTTTACAAGTTTTTGAATGAGCTATCAGTCAAAATATTTTCATAGAAGCGCAATATTTGAACTTCAGAAAGAAAAAAAAAGTGTTGAAGCTTCTTCCTCATAAGATTTGGTTCATAGCTCTTTGAAAGAATGGTGTAATGATATATCCTTAAACATATAAGTCTTTTTAGGAATTCAATATCAAACTTTATGAGATATTTTAAGCATTATCTTTATAATAAAGTTTCCTAATTAGTATCTTTACACAACTTATAATTGTTATGTTAAAAAAATTTACTTAAAAGATGAACATTAAATTAAACTTATTCTTAAAGAAATTGTATTGCTTTCATGAACTCCTACTTAACAATACATAAATTAAAAAGTTCATAATAATTATTTTAATTTTGCTGAACTAAGATTGAAATTTAAATCATTTCAATGTAGTGCTCACCCAACTTTAGCCTAATTGGTTGAAAAATTTATGGATGAAATTTTTTATGGATGGTTTGTTTATTAAAAGGAGTACTTATGATTTAATATAAATGATTAAATTTTGTGGATTTTATATGAGCGTTGAGGAGTGGAGAAAATGACCAAGTCTTACCTTATTTAGTTTAGTTAAGAGCTCTCTTTGAGATTTTAGACTGAATGTGAGATATGGTTTTGGTGGTGAATGGTTTTGGAGGATGTTATCATGCGAAGGGATAAGTGAGAAAATTTGATAGAATGAGCTTAAAAGGGTATAAAGTACTTCTAAAAGAAACAAAGATAATGATCTTATCTCAATAAGTAAAAGTAAAACTTGATCCACCATGCTCTAAGCCAAAAAGAAAGTAACTCTACATTCCCAATATTTCATTTTATTTATATAGTTACAAAGTATTTCAACCCATATTTCTAGGCATTACAAAAATCTTAATCAAAGTCTTTTAAAGAGAAAAAAATATTGTGAAAAATGGGTGGAACATAAAGGTGGTGTCCATTAATGAATAAGGAGAAGTTTCAACCACTAATTTTTAATGTTTCCTTTATTTCATGGTTGGCCATTCATATGTTCAATGGCTTCAAAAATCTATAATAAGAAAATAAATTCCTTTTTAAATAATTTAAATGATAGTTTTTTGTTGAATCCTATGTCGAGGTCAGATGTCTCTATGCTATTTCATAAGGAGAATTAGGGTTTAATGAGGTTTCTTTAAGATGTTTGGAGGTTGTTCTTGTCATTTTTCTAAGGTATTCTTTGCAATTTCGACATCAATAATCTATCAAGGGAAGGGTGTTATGACATACTTTTAAATGTATAAGCATATTTAAGAAATCAACATCAAACTTCATATGATATTATAAGTATATTTCACATAATACAGTTACGACAAAACAATATATATATAAACTAATATCAAATGCATTACATAAATTAAGAAGATAATGATTATTTTGATACTCATGAACTATTCGTGAACTAATCACTAGATTCATAATCTTAAAGTACTAGTAGATAGTAAAATTAAAATGCTTATTAGTCTTATTATTATTTAAAAGGTTTAGCCTTAGCTATAAGGTGTAGACTTTATATATAAAAACATCAAATTGAATTGAATGAATGTGTTTATAAATATATATATTTTTGCGGTAAATATGAGAGGGGATTCGATTCCATAGATAGTAAAGGTTTCGTTGCAGCCTTGAGCTTTTAATGATGATGGCATTCCCGATGGGAAATATCTTGTATGGGTCAGCCCCCATGAAAACGAAAAATCGTTCCACACGGAGCTTTCGTGTGGTGTCTGATGTGGACCGTAAGTCATCTGATCTACGGTCCCGATATATTTCGATGGGTCCCACCTAAAATTTTAAAAAAAATGAAAATAATCCTGACCGTAGATCACCGTGATCTACGGTCAGAATCGGACACCGCATGCAGAGATGCATGAATTTCTCCATGAAAACATCTATTTTGATTAATTCCATAATAATACATTTTATCTCCAATGGAGAGCAAATTACTCACGTTTTTTTTTTTTAATTACTCTTCGACAATCCAGTCATTATCACCCTTTTTATATTATCATATGTTATGGCAAATGTAAACATGTTATTATTTATTTTATTATTATTATTATTATTATTATTATTATTATTATTATTATCTAATCTCTAAAAGGGTTGTTTGACTCACATTTAGCTCTTTTGAAATTGACTCGTATTTGAAATTGTTCATGAATAGTGCATTCATGTTTGATTTGATTTACATATTCTTTTTTTCATATTCTGCTCAAATTTGATTTGTATCAATTTAAATAGAAAAATAGATTATGTGTGATGTTGAATAACAACATGTTTTAATTCTATGTATGTGTGTGTGTGTACGCGCGCGCGTGCCGCCATGGATTAGTTCCAGCTGTGGCATGTTACTGGAACTACCTCTTTGAATGTCGTAAGACCTCTCATGTCATGGATTAGAATCCTCCTCTGGCTAGTTTGGCGGTAGTGAGGGTGATCCTCGAATAGTTAGACACATGAAAGTGGCTGAGGGCTCATATAATTTGGGTTTCGATTAAATACAAAAAATAGATTATGTGTGCTGTTGAATTCAAACATACTCTAATTCTATACAATAGAAAGAACATAGCCACATGATATATATGTGTGTGTGTGTGTGTGTGTGTGCGCCGCCAACCTTGACCTATTGGTGGAACAATCTCTTTGAATGTCGTAAGTCTCCTCAGGTCATAGATTCAAATCCCCCTCTGACCAATTTGGCGGTAGTAAGGGCAGTATTCGAATAGTTAGACACATGAGAGTAACTGAGAGCTCATATAATAGTCTTCTTAAAAAAAAAAAGTGTGTGTGTGTATATATATATATATCATATAATATAAAAAAAATTATATAATTTCTTTATTTCAAAGTACAATGAGAAATTGTTAGTACCGGCTTTAGCTTAAAAAATTCATCCGTCTTCTACTTAAAGAAGACCGGACGTAGCGACATACGTAATAATTTTTCCTTACAACAGACCCACAGATACTTACCTCAATCTTCTAAAAGGTAGCATATATTAATAGGGGTAGAAGTAGGATTTAATTTCATTTAAAATTTAATACATTTTAGATTTTTCATTTAATAAATTTAAAGATGATTAATATTTTTAAATCGTTTGAAATGTAACTATTTATTATTATTATTTTGATGAAGTCCAAAATAGTAAAAATAAAATTCTATTAAAATAATCTAACTAAAAAACGTCGAAACGCTTGGATGCATTTCGAAATATTTTTGAGACTCATCATTATGACTAAAAATGTGATTAAAATAAAGAGAATTAGTGGGATTTAATATATTTTAAATTTAAATAATAATGAAGTAAGCTTCATTTAAATAATATATTTTAAAGTAAAATTATTTTGGGATCTTAAATTTTAGATACATTTTAAAATGAGTATAATATATGAATAATCAATTAAATTTATAATATCAATGTTATAAGTATAAATATTTAAATTTTGGTGTTAGATTTGTAAATACATAAACAATTAGGAGCAAGCCCTAAAAAGAAAGTAGAGATTAACATCCATCACCTTCCTCCCTCTTCTCTTCAAAAAATTATTACATACTTATATTTATGCAGAGATGCATGCGGTATCTGATCCTGATCATAAATTACGATGATCTACGACCAGGATGTAATGTATGATTAGATCGGAGAGTGCATGCTCCATATACAATAACTTTTCCTCCTCTTCAGCGGCCTCTTCTTCTTATAATTGAAGTTGCAGAGAACTCCTCCGTGTTCTAGGCCATTAAAGCCTTCAGCAAGAGCTTCGCGATCAGATTCGTCATCCAACGCCGATCTCTGGTTGCCGGAGATCGATTATCCCAACAGAGCGCGATAGGAGCTGAGCTCTTTGAGTTTGCACAGCCATTCTTCGCCGGTAATCTTCTTGCATTTCATCATACCCGTCGCTTCGACTTCTCTCTCCTCTTGTTTCTCCTCATCTTCTTTATCATCGGAGCTTTTTCCGGCGACGGCAGTCTCATCTTCCTTGTCATTTGCGATTTCTAACTCATGCTGCAAAATAACAAACAGTTTCAACACAATATGGAGCATATTGACGAAAGATTGATTGATCAGCGATTTTCCCCAAATTTGGAGAAAAGCTCGACGGCTCTAATTAACTATCTAAAAATCAAGATTCTACATAAAGCGATCGTCTCGTTTATTTTTGAAGGGATTCATTTGATTAGGGCAGGGTATCGGGGAGAAATAAAAAAGCAATAGACCAAACCCTAAAAAAATGGGAAGTGAAGAGACACGAGATAGGAATCATGGAAGCTAGCGATCGATCGATCCTTCTGATGACTCGATGATTGAAGATTGATCAAATCTTTCACTGAATAGCCGCGGAGGAATCCCACGCAGAAGAAAATCGAATTATGATTATCTTCTTTTTCTCCCTCTACTTCCTGCTTCTTCTCCCTGCGAATTCCTCCTTTTTCATTATTTTTTTTTCTTTTATTTTGGTTTCTCTCTTCGCAGGAGTTCTTCATTAAATTATTCCAAAAAAGACCTACAGTTTAAGAAACCGTGCGCTGTACCAGCAAGAGATTCCAAACTCTCTGGAATGAGAGTTTATTAACTCCATCGCCAGGACTTCGAGTTGCGTGGACGTTGGTTGACGTCCGGACACAACTTGGTTTTAACTGATTTAAGGTTCGATTGGGGCTGTTTATTTGGTGCGGTATTGTTTTGACAACGCTCCTAGACTGTCTGGGCAAAACTATGTTTTGGTAGCTTATGCATTTTGAAAATGCTGAAAACAGTGTTTTCACACCGCACATATCTAGGTGTGGTGGCAGCTTTCAAGCATCGGTCTGAATTTTTCAAAAAAATAAAAATTTCTAATATCCACCGCAACTAGCTTATCAGCAGATTATTTTTTATTAGCTTATTAACATATTATTGAATAAGCTGCAGCTGCCCCAAACATACCCTCAATCTTCCTGCTTTAACTAAAGTAGGTGATGGGATTATTGATAATAATTGAAATTTCTCTTACATTCCTGAAGCTTGTTTGAGATATATTATAGAGGTTCCTATTAAAAAAGATTTTATTAATTATCTTTGGAAGGGTCATGATAAATATGCTCATAAATTCATTTATGATCTTATTTTTATAACTCATATTTAGTTAGTTGGAACAAGTTTGCTTGGTGTAAAGATTACTCTTTCAGATTTGCTATCAATACTAGGAGAATTTTGCATCATGGTCTCAAAACTAGACGATCGCTTCAGATAGTCTCAAAATTACTCGGCGTCCGGGCGACGGACGTAATAAATTTTCCTCTGAAACACATTAATCTGAAAATTTACATACGAACACTCAATTCTTATGTATTTACACATCGAACACCCATACTTCAATCTTAGTATTTTACTATTCTGGTTGTTCTTCATTCCTCTGTATAATTATGATTAATTTCAACACAAAGTTTAAATCTTACAAAATCATGTTTTATGCTAAATTACTATATTTTAATATGGGCAAAATCATAAACTATCTATTTTTTAAAAAAGAATATTGAGAAAAAAATATATTAAAGATGGGCAAAATTACTAAATTGTCTAAGATATATTAGAAGAAATATGAAATTTTATTATTTATATAAAGATTTATAAAATTTTAGGTTGACAATTGCCCTCAAATATATTAACTGACTCCCCCCTTTCTAAATAATAAATAGTAAATAAAAGATTATATTTAGTTATGTAGTATTATTCTCTGATCATACTAATTGTAAGACTTCTACTTTAAAATTTCTTATTATATTGTATTTACAATCATATGCATTATGAAATGATTTTACTTCATATGAATATATGATCACTATATATATATATATATATATATATATATTGAATTAAATCAATTGTTAATATATTAATTCAACAAACTTTGTGTATATATTATTATTGCATATGTCAATTTACATAAACTTCTTAGTTATGATGTGCAATTTGAATCATCTAAAATATTTGATGTTCTAAATTAGGGGTGTAAATGAGTCGAATTGAACTTAAGCCGTCCTAGGCATTGGCTTGGGCTTGATTAATTTTATTGACTTCAAGCTTGAGTATGAGTCTTCGAGTTCAAGTAGTCTCACAAGTCGGCTTGTATATTATAAAAGTGAGAAAGTAATGTAATTAAATGTAGTGTTATAATAAAATGATAAATAGAATGAGTAATTACGAGAGAAATAATAATAAATCATTTGATATAAAATATAAAATACAAAATGTTAAATTTAAATGTTTTAATACTTTAAAGATAAAGTATTTAAATTTAATATAATTTGAGTAAATTTTATATTAATATATTTTTAAACGAGCCGACTCTTGAGCTAACGAGTCCTATTGGAGGTGACTTGAGCTTAGTTTTCTTCTTACATTCTAGTCATGATTGTTCATTGCTTGATCTTGGCTTGTTAGTTCATTAAGCTCAATTCACATACCACTTATCAAGCCGAGCTCGAACTGATTCATGAGTCAGCTTGACTTATTTACACCCCTATTCTCAATATTTGAAATATAGACATCATATGCCCACATATTAATAGGCTAAAGGGCTTTCATTGTCATATTTGGGAATTTGATGGTTATAGAAAAAATACAAAAATAAAGTGATTTTTAATATGGGATAATTTCATGCAAAGCATAAGAAACATTACTATTTATAAATCAAGCACTTAGGTGGTTTTTTGAACTGTGAAGTTGATGCATTTAAGTGTGTCACGATCAAACTATTGTAACTTTGATAAAAAATGAAAAGTATGAGTTGGGGTTATATCATAATCTTTGATATTTGAGTGAGAATTTGAAAAATCGGAAAAAGCAAGTGTTTGATTTGTAAATAGCATTGTTTTGGGTGCCCGATCTTCTAATATTTGTTAACTAATTTGAGATAGTAAACCCTTGATATTTTACACCCTTAATCAATTTATATAAAAAGTTTATAAATCAATGAAAATTTAGTATACTGTACTCCAAAAATAACATGGACTATCCCTTTTAAGTTAGGGTAAAGATGTAATATTGTATTTCTCGTTTTAATCTTTGATAACTAGGGATACTATGATAGGTATTAGATGCTCTTGCGCTCTCCTCTCTCAATACTTAACGTAGGGAGAACTCTCTCATCTTCCCCTCTCCAATAATCAATTTTTTAGTTAAGTAAAAAAAATCAAAGAGCCTGGTAACACTTCTCATTTGCCTTTATGGGGCAAGTCTCTCTCTCTCTCTCTCTCTCTCTCCATCTATCTCTCTAGCTAGGCTCTATCCCTTGGGCATGATCAGATAAATTTGAATTCAACATCCTGAAAGGTTTAGTGACCGTAGATCGTGATATCAAGAAGAAGACGAGAAATACCGAGGATAAACTTTTTTCAGAGAAACACTTCTAACCAAAAACAAATAAGGGAAACTTGCACACCACAATCTCCAAGGAAATCTCTAGGTCTATAAAAAACTAGGTGCATGCCCTCCGTCGTTAAATCTAACCATCTCCGACCAAACTTCGTTGCATCGTGCTAGCTAGTTGCTTACTAGTAGGCCTAACTCAAAACTGTCGTGCAGATCTCTTTCCCGGTGGTCATTCCCTTTGTCGCGTGGAATTTCCTTCCGCACCTGCATATCCCAACCTCATCACATTGTCACATTAAAGGCTCCCATGTGAATTAAATATCAAGCAGCAGACAACTGGATGACCGCCTCGAATACGGGGGATTATTGCGTGCGGACACCGCATGCATCTCTGCATGCGGTGTTCGATCCTGGCCGTAGATCACGGTGATCTACGGTCAGGATTATTTCCGTTTTTTAAAAAAAAAATAAAAAAATTTTAGGTGGGGCCCACCGAAATACATCAGGACCGTAAATCATGTGATTTACGGTCCGGATCGGCGTCCGCACGCAAGCTACGTGAGGAACACGAACCGCATTTAATTTTTCCTCGAATACAGAAAATTTACATATATACCACTCAATTCTAGCGTGTGTGTGCGTGTGGCCCACTTAACTTTCACCATTTGCTGAATTATATTGGCAAATTAATCTGCCCTTTCAAGGAGAAATTTTAATATATTTATTTTGGTATTTGACCCCATATATGTGACTGTTTTTTTGGTGCATTATCGTTGTTGAGAGATTAGGGCGAAGAAAAATAAGAATCGACTCAAATTCAGAAGAACACACGGAGATTTACGAGGTTCGACAAAGATGTCTATATCCTCGAGAGCAGAGCGGCGACTTTCTTTTAGAATTCAGAAAAAAATACAGAATATAAGATTCAGCTCTCAGAATCTTAGAGGCTTGTCTGGGGTTACAAACATGACATATATATAACCTTATAGTGCAATATGTAATTATTTAAATTACTCATGTACCAAACCGCGGGGTGTTGCCCCCGCACTCCCAACCCACATAATGAAACTCCCCCGATTAGATAGATCCTTCCGCTCCACTTCGCTCCAGCATCTGTCTCATTATGGTATATGAGTCATATCTAGCAAATCTCCATCTTGGCAAATATCCAACCCCTTAGGAGAAATACATATGTCTGACAAATCTCAACCTTGGCGAATGTCCAACCCCTTAAGAGAAATACATATGTCTCACAAATCTCAACATTGGCGAATATCCAGCTCCTTAGGAGACAATACATCATGTAGTTTCTTATGCACCTGTGCGGGTTGGGTCACCACGCTTCCGCTACGCTCTCGCTGATCCCTCTAACCCACTAAATTCCAAGAGACACAACTCTTCAATTCTAAGAGACATCTCGAGACATCTCTTCATTCATCTCTTCATTCCAAGAGACTCCAAATTCTGGTATTATTAGTCATATCTAACAAATCTCCACATTTGCGAATATACAGCACATTTAGGAGAAATGCATACACCCAACAAATCTCCACAGCCCCTTAGGAGAAATATATCATAGAGTTTCTTATGCACCAATGTGGGTTGGGCCCTTTCAAATAATCTCTTAATTAATATTCTTTAATTAAGTTTCCTTTAATTAAGTTTCCAAGAAAAAAAGAATTTCCCTTAATTAAGTTAAAAAAAAGACTTTCCCTAAATTAAGTTTCCAATAAAAATGATTTTTCCTTAATTAAACTTTTCCAGAAATCATTTTCCTTAAACTTCCAAGAAAAGCTTCGTTTTCGCTTCCCAGAAAAGCTTCTTTTTTTTCTTCCAGAAAACTCTGCTTTCTTTCTCAGAAAAGCTCCGCCTTCCAGAAAAGTAACTTTTTCGCTTTCCTTTCAGATAAGCTCCGCCTCTGTTTTCCTAAAAAACTCATTTTTTTCCTTCCAAAAAAGCTCTGTTTTCCTTCTCAGAAAAACTCTGCCTTCCAGAAAAGCTCTGCTTCCTTCTCAGAGAAACTTCGCCTTTTAGAAAAGCTCCGCTTCCGTTTTTCTTCCATAAAAATCATGCCCCCGCTTTCCAGAAAAGCTCTTTTTTTTTTCCTTCCAGAAAAGCTCTGCTTTCCTTCTCAGAAAAACTCTGCCTTCCTGAAAAGCTCATTTTTTCCTTCCGGAAAATCTCTGCTTCTTCTCAGAAAAACTCCGCTTTCTAGAAAAGCTCCTGCATTTTTGGAACTTGCGCCTGCAATTTTGCGTCCTAGAATATCACAAAAGGGTGAATATCAATTTCCTTCCAATTTGGCAGCCTCCAGCTTTCTTTTTCCGAGTGCAGCAACAGATTCCCTTCCTTCGCTGAATCAAATCCTCCCATGAAAGAAAATCCAATTTTATAAAGTAAATCGCAGACGAAAATCTTCTTTTTCCAGCAAAGGAAATT